GTTTTCAATTAGAGAGAAGGACTCATCGTAAATGTGCAGGTTTGTGTGTTAAACATGTGTGAATGAAATGAAACACAACTCCAGCTCTGTTTGTGATGTAGAACAGAAATCAAATATTTGCATACAGCTCCTTTAACCACGGTCACTTGCCCAACCTGAGCTAAACCTAAATCATATCTGAACTTTAAACCACGTTGTTGGTCTAATTATAAAGGATCTACGTCATGGGCATTTGTGTTCCCATAGTGGAGGCAGGTCCCCACATTGTGCTAAGTATCGGCTCCTTTGGCTGCTCGAGGCGGTGAATGTGCTCCGAGCCCCCCGAGTGTAAGGGGAAGGGGGGGTCACAGTGGCCCACTTAAGCACAGCTCCTCCAGAAATGGGACAAAAGACTGGGCCTGTCTGTGCTACGTCACACCAGCACCACAATGTTCTGCTACAGCCGCACACGCTCCTGAGCTATAAGGCCCCGAGTTACACCAAATGAACTCTGGTGAGCTTTAGCCACGCTACAATGCTGTTCCCTTTTCAAAAACACACCTCTAGTTGTGTTCTGTTTCATTCTCACATGTTTGATTAATCCTTTATTATTGGCGTGTCTACATCTGCAAAGCACAAACAGCTCTGTTTACCTCTAGTTTAGTAGAAATGGGCAGATCCAGAGCTGAAATCATTCAAATGATTCTAGTGAAGGTGTACGGAGCTTAAAATACAGTGGAGCACTTCCTGTATTAGCACATGACATCACAAGGTGGAATAGAGTGTCTGAGAGAGAGAACTCTCCTAAATGTGCAGGATTTGTGTGTTAAACATGTGTGAATGAAACAAAACACAACTCCAGGTCTGTTTTTGAGGAGGTAACAACATTATAACATGTCTTAAAGCTCACAAGAGTCGGTTTTGTGTAACATAGAACCTTGTAACTTGCGTAATTTAAAATGTAACTAGTACTTTTGGTTCTATTTTTCATGTGTATGCTTAACAAAAGTGGCCGTACATTTTTAGCCGTACACACTGTCAGTACTCTTCCAGCAGCCTCCACAGTGCTATGACATCACACTCTCTCCAACTCTAATCCTGTCCATCCCTGTGCCCCCCCCCCCCCCCGCCCCGGCCCCGGCCTCGGCCTGGCCCTGTGTCCGGACACCAGATCCCAGGATTTGAGCCTCTGTCCTGGGCACTCGGGGCCTATTCTGGGCCTGTCCGCGCCACAGGGGTGTTAGCAACAGATTGCACTGTTTACCACGGCTCTGTTGTGGTGGGAGTGGGTGCACTATTATTGATTGTGGTGCCCTCCGAGCTGGGGTGGGGGGGTGTATTTGTGTGACCTTTCACCTTTCAGCTGTAGGGCTGAGAGTCACAGGGTCCCACAATTTGATACAATACACAATACTTGGCTCACGATACGATATTATCACAACAGTGTGATAAACGATAAATAGCACATGGTACTTTGTCATATAGATGATATTCTTTGTTAAACCGCTACTTGTGCAAGGTTCATATAAAATCCAAATATTCTCATCATTAAAACAGTGAATATGTCAAGTGTATCACTTAAACAAGTTTCCTTACACTAAATACGCAACAAAACTGTAGTGTGGTCACAAAAATATTTGCTAAAACAAAACTAAACAAAAAAGTACTGTTAGCTTTGGAGATATGACGATATATTGATACAGCAGCCCACAATAACGATATTGTATTACCAAATTTAGTTTCACGATATTTTGATATTTTGATATTTTGATATTTTTGCACACCCCTGTTCGCATGTTGTCTGTTGCAGCTTTCAGGTCCACTCTGTTAAAAAGAGTATAAAACAGGACAGTCAGAATAACTCATTGCTGGGTTTCAGATGATAACACAGCATTCTTCACAGAATCAATTTTAACATTTTCTCAGAGTTTATATGAGTCCAATCTGTTCTAGAGTTAATCTAATGTTTTTGGAAAGGTTAATTAAGTAACACTGGACCAAAGCTCCTGTTTAACCTCAAAATCAAACATTTTGAGAGTAACACTTTGTAGGGTTATCCTGATTTAGCTAAACAATACACCCATGTGTTTTATTTTTACACTTTATTTTAGTTAATTTAACATTTTGGGGAATAGTAACTGCACACTGTTAAGTGTAAATTAAGGTTCACTGTAAAAAAAAAAAAGAAAAAAAAAAAAGAACACATTCAGTACATGTAAAGCTTTCATTTTCTTCCAAAACATTGTAGAAGATGAAATTATGTTTAAAACTGGTTCAAACTGGTCTTCTCTCGCTGGAGTTTGAAGTGGTGGGTGGGAGGAGCCAAATTAACACTAAGTGAAGTTGAATTAACTTCAGCCATAACCACTTTGGCAAATAACCCCAACTCGAACCCCCATTTATCTTTCAAATAGTTAAAATAACACTTTTTGTGTTAAACACAACCATCCAGTTTTTGCTGTGCAGCACAATATGAATGAATACAGATGGGGACAGCTAAAAGTCATATATTTAAAATGTA